TTGGGTTATGCTCAATTATTCCTTTAATTCTTGCTCTTCACTCTTGTATTCTGAGAATAGCTTAGGACAGTGGTTCTCAACCTTCCTAATATTTCAATCCTTTAATATAGCTCCTCATGCTGTCGTGACCCCAACAGAAAAAATATTTTTATTGCTCTACTTCATAAGTACGATTTTGCTACTGTAATAAATCATAATGTAAATAGTTTTGGAGACAGGTTTGTCAAGGGGTCACGACCCACAGGTTACGACAGACTGTCTCAGGGACTATTTGTGTGATAGAATGTTATATAATGTGTATGTTCATCCTTGAAAAACTCAACAGAGATTTTCATATAAACCAGAGTCCCTACTTAAGTTTGCAATTAACTCACATGCTTGGGGATCTGTCCTCTGTCATCATGGTGTTATTCACGATTTTAGCCATCAACCAAAAAAAAAAAAAAAAAACAAAACAGTAGAGTAAATTACTATTGCCCTGACTACATATAATACTGCACATGCATTTGCTTTTAAATGATTTTATGAGTGAGTGTAAGTGCTGAAGGCCAGCTTAGGTCAGGTGTCTGCCTGTCCTGCCCATGGTTGGCTCTGGGGGTGTTCTTCAGCACCACAAAGCACCCCCACCAACAAAAACCAGAACAACTTGCACATCGTCTAATAGCTCTTTCTAGAAAGGAACATAAAAACCTTCCACTAAACAAAGCACCACTTTTCATTTATACACCACATAAAATATGCAAAATTAATATATGCCTATAGATCTTTAACTTTCAAAGGCTAAATTTTTAAACCCTATGAAGATTACCTATCTAAGGGCTCGTTAAAAAAAAAAAATTCTGGGAAGGTCATGGATGGCCTGATCTAGAAAGATCCTCCTGTGCCAGCCCCTACAAGTGCTGGGCTCTGCCTGAGGCACACGTCTAGACACTGCTTCTCTCCTTTCTTAGTTCCATCTTTTGTCACGTATTAGGCCAGACAACATGTTTGCTTTCTTCCTAACTGCTTTTTTGCATAGATCTATCACTTCTTTACAGTTTGGCTAAACCTTATACGTATAAATTTACTCTCTTGTAAGTTGCATATAAATCTATTTATCTCACATTACAGAATAAAATGATTATACCTATTCTTGAAAAAATAAGTATGCAAGGAAAATTAAGAACACAAGCCAAGAAACTTCCTTGTACATGACACTGGTATCTATGATTTTAAAAATTAGCATAGTTCTTTTTTTTTTTTTTTCTGAAGTAGAGAATAGGAGGGAGATAAGGAAAGATTGTTTGGTATGCTTTATCTTTTTAACCCCATGACTTGTGTGTATCAGGAAATCGGATCTTTATTACCCTGTGTGTCTACAGCTTATGTATTTGACTCTCTGCCCTTTTCATCATTATCACTTAGCCAGATACCAATTTCAGCTGCTTCTAGTCAACTCTACCTCCAGAGCAGCCTCAGATTCAGAGGCAAGGCTTGCAGGCTCACGGCTCACAGGAGAGGATGGATGACAACTACAGGGATGGCCTTCCCCATTAACATATGATGATGTGGAAACAGACACCAATCGTGACTGACAGTCAGTTTGGTGCCGTCAGCCTACTTTAGCATAAGCCACCTTTTGCATCAAGTTAAGAAGAGTAGAGTGCCTACTAAGGAACAGCTTCAGCTTTCAGGTCATAAGGGGTGAGGTATGTGATGATCTTCAAATGACTGAAATGCTATTGTATCTTAAAGAAAATTTAGTACATGGAAAAAAAACATAAAGTCAAACCAAAAGCAAGCTTTGTCTATATAAAAGCTAAAATCATCAAAACATATTATGTAAATTGCTTTACATTTATGCCTAGTTATCTTGCAGCACAATAAGGATTACAAGGTTATTCTGACCAGATTAACTTTGGCCAGAAGAATTATAACTCTGTATTCCAAATATTAGGCTTTCGAATTTACTATTTTAAAACAATTATTTACTGAGCTCCTTTATTTGTTTGGCACTACTTTGAGAATAAAAATTATTCTCAGACCCACAGAATTAACTAGCAGGACTCATAGGTGCTCACAGACACTGAATGGAAATCACAGACCATGCATTTGTCTAAACTAGGTCCTCTGCATATATGCTCTGGTTTTATAGCTTGCTGTTATTGTGGGACTCCTAATAGCATCTCTGATGTTTTTGTCTGTGCTTGGGACCCTTTTCTTCTTACTGGGTTGCTTCATCCTGCTTTGATATAAGGGTTTGTATTTAGCCTTATTATAATTTGTTATGCCATGTTAAGTTGATATCCCTGGGAAGCCTGTTTTTTTTTGGGGGGGGGTGAAGGGGTGTTGTTTGTTTGTTTAAGGGAATAAAAGAAGAGGATCTAAAGTACAGGAGGTGTGTGTGTGTGTGTGTGTGTGTGTGTGTGTGTGTGTGTGTGTAGGGGCTGGGAGGAGTGGAGTACAGATAAGGGAAACTGGTTGGAATATAGCTTATATAAAGAATAAGTAATAAGGAAGCATAAACATCTATTCTCCAGGACGCTTACAGTCTTGGTGAAAGAAAGATAAACACAGGCAAATGTCAAGTCACACATGCACTTTTATTTATTTATTTTTGTTTTTCGAGACAGGGTTTCTCTATGTAGCTCTTCCAGTCCTGGACCTCACTCTGTAGACCTTGAACTCAGAGATTCACCTGCCTTAGCTTCCCTAATGCTGGGATTAAAAGCCTGTGTTCACCATTGCCTGGCTCACCATTTTTAATAAAGGTAAAGATGTCATTAAAATTCATTGATTAAGGCTTCAACAAATGGTTAGCAAAGCTGATTCTTGAAGAACCAATCGCTAGTCAGAAGGGAAGGTTAGAGTGATTTAGAACTCTAAAGCAAAATAAATGGGAAACGCATTGGCCTTGAACCTGAAAACTACAGGGACTGCATGAGGTTCCACTGCCTTGCAATACACAGACATGGAGAGTCTTGAGATAGTGAGGGATAATGAAGAGGCGAGTGAGCGGGGTTGAAGTGTGGCCTTGACTATTAGGCTAAAGAGCTGGCAAAGCTGTCTGATAAGGAAGATGTACTAAAAACCTGGCAGGATAATGAGGGTTCAAGTTTGCATTTCAGATGTATTGCTTCACTGTGAAGAAGGAAGTGGTAGAGCTCATGACCGCAGCCCTGTCAGAGGCCAGCAGAAATCATTTCAGTGATAGATACCGCTAGCATCTAGGTTAGGCTGGGAGGAACTGAGAGAACCAGTCAGAGCCGACATACCTAACAGTTACAACAGAAACGTCTAAGTGATTGATTGGGTATGGGAAAAAGGGGGTACTGAGGATGGCTTTCTAACTTAGGCAAAGACAGCATGTTATTTACTAAGACAGAAAACAGGAAGATTGATAAGGCTCTGTTTTTGTTTTTTTATTTTGTTGATTTGGGCAGTGGGTCTAACAAAGCATTAGAAATTATGAGTTTTAACTTAACTGAGACAGAGCTCTCTGGTAGGTTACTGAGTGCCTAAGTGCAAGGCTATGGAGAAATCTCAATTTAGATATATATTTGAAAGATAACACTTTACATCATTTGAACCTGTCATGCAGTAAAATGATATTAGCGATTGATTTAAAGAAACACAAAGTTTTGTGAGCTAAGTAAAAGTTAAGAAAAGTACAGAGAAGCTACAACTGCAGGTAGGGAAAAATAAAACAAGAAAGCATAATCACACATGTCAAGAGCAAAGAATATTCGAAGAGAGAGAGCAAGTAGTCAACAATGTAAACTGTAACAGACATCATATATGTTGGCCGGCAATATAAATATAATCAAGAAAACGGCCATGATGCCTGTCCACTGAGACAAAGAACAGCATGTAAAATGTTTTTGAAAAGGAAAATAGTTCATAGAAATTGAGAACGAAGCAAATCTATACAGAGAAACTGAAATATTACAAATAAAAAGTACAAGAACCTATGCACATAATAACACCTCCTATTTTTAATGTGCTTTTTAATCCATACTTAATTGCATACACAGAGACTGATGCAGAAGGTTTACAGGCATATAAACCAAACTTAAGTCTGATGGTTAGCTTTGTAAAGAAAGCTGGTATGTGCTTGGGTTTGTGGCCAAGAGGCTTACATCATTTGATAATTTTTACACTATCAGTATTTCCAGATATTATAAGCATATTTAAGAACACATTTTAGCTGGGTATGGTTGCTCATGCCTATAACTGGAGAACTTGAAAGACTGAGGCAGAAGGATTGAAACGTGTTGGAGGCCAGGCTGGGCTACAGAGCAAAATACTGTGACAAAAACAAACAAACAAACCCCAAGAGCGAGAAAGGAAAGAAAGAAGAAACAAAGGAAGGAATATTAAAATCCTATCAAATCTGGGCAGGTGAGGTGTGTCAACAGGTAAATACATTTGCCATTCGATAAATACCTGGATTCTATGGAAAAAGGAAAGAATCAACTTCCAAAAATTGTTCAGTGACCTCTATGTTCATAGGTCAGTGCAACTATGGTGTACACACACATACACACACACAAAATTATAATAATAAGCAGAACAAGTAAAAATTTAAAAACCTGTCAATTTATTTTAAAAGTAAATTGAGTGAAATTAAGATAGAAAAAATATCCATTTAACAATTAGTAGATATTTAAGAGCTTTAACAAGAAAAGGTTTGTAAAAAATGAAGCAAGCTGAAAACAATAAATTGAGATGAAATGGGAAGAAAGGCATTAAATAAAATAGAAAAATCGAAGAAACTGGTAAGTCGGTAGCAGAAATAACAAATAGTAAAGGATAATTCACGTGAGGTAAGAAGGAAAAGTTCTCCAGAAGCCTCACTGCCTACTCACATCATGAAATGTTTTGCTTGTGACCTTCAGAGGAATTAATCAAAACACCTTTAAGGCCAAAGCAGCTTTCCACTTGCCTGCTTGCCACGCTTGGCTGCAGCTATTTAAATTATATCAGGAACCCAAATAAGCTTCTGAATAAACAGTCCTCACCTTAAGAGCTCTACCTGTAGGACAGGCAAATTGTTCCTTTGATGGATCCTACAGGCAGCCTTCTGAGAATCAGACGAGAACAGCCAGCTTCGATCATTTGAACACGGAGCATCAACTAACACCTGGAGAAAACAAAGGCAAACAATGCAAAAATACTTAGGATGAGGTATATGGAGCAGCTACATGGCAAACAGCACATAAATAAAAACCACTGTCTTAAGGACCCAAATATATGACATGCTAGGTCCTATATATTTGTCTGATAATTTACAGAAATTTTTCCTATGCCGTGCTAGTGATTGTTTCAATGGAGAGGGAACCTTACAGACTAAGTGTCTATTGATCTCTATTATTTGAATTTAATATTTTTTTCTGTTTTGGGTTTTCGGGTCAGGGTTTCTACGTATTGCCCTGGCTGTCCTGGAACTCACTCTGTAGACCAAGCTAGCCTCTAACTCAGAGATACACCTGTCTCTACTTTCAGTGTGCTGGGATTAAAGGCATGTACTATCATACCTGGCTAAATTTAATATTCTTGATGACTACAGCTATAACTTAAAAACGTTACTAATCTTCAGAAAACATAACTGTATTTCCGAACCCACAGTACTTTTGTTATAATTGTTTTTTTCACCATAGTAAAATTATACATTGTTGGAGGCAGAACCCAGGGTCCAGTAGTTATTTTTATGAATTAAAAATTCAATTTTAACTTACTGAAATGGCTTTTCTTTATCTATCAAAGTCTGGTATGAAATGTTACTGAATTCAAGTAAAATGTACAAATGGTTTTTACTGGCTCAAATGATAACTGGTCATTTCCAGAGTAACTCTGAGGTACCAGAAAATAGAAGACATTCTACAATCGCCAAACCCAGTGTCACTTTGTCCACTGAATCATACTAACCATCCACTTTATCAAGGTCTCCCACAACACTGAGAAAGTGTACCATCTGGAAGCAGAAGGTGAAGAACGACAGAGAACACAATACCACATCACCAGGAGTCTGTCAGTTTTTCACAGGACAATAAAAGTACCTTGTCAAACGCTTCAGGCTGGGCATCTCCCATTTCTCGGCCATCCAATTCCGACACTTTAATTGCATTTGTCAAAGACTGTGGGATGAAAGATTCCAACGTCTGTCTCAGCCATCTCACTCTCGGACTATCATATTCGTTACAAAGAAGATAACCTAAATATGAAGGATTCAAAAGTTCCAGGGTTGTCCAAGATAATATAATTGGTAAATTTTTACTTTGTAGCAGATACACTTCAGAAAAATCAGACCTTCAGAGTTTAATACAGAGATAAGGCTCAGAGGTAAGCATTATGGTAACTTTAAAAACAAAAATGCATCCTTTTAAAATATTTACCATGTTAGGCCTCACATCCTCCCTGAAGCTCTCACGTTTATTCAATCAAGTTTAATTTGCAATGTGAAAACTTACAGATTCCTAGAGATGCTGTACAAACAATAGCTCATGTATAATTTTCACCGTGAAGTACCAGCTGTTGAGAGTCGGCAATGTATTCTGATAGGTATGTAAAGTTCCTTGCTGGTACAGCACATACATATTAAATGAAGGAAAGTAATAACAGTGTCAAATAAAAATGGGCAAGTATATAAGCTACCAGTAAGAAAAACATGAGTTTAAATTGTGAGCTGAGGGCCTAGGAAAGCTGTTTAACTCTGTGATGGCGGTTTACCTTGTGGAGATGGGTAAAATGGGAATCATACTTCCACATGGCTGTTGTGAAAGAACTGAGAACAAGATGCTGGCTGAAGAAGTGGTGCCCCGCCCCGCCCAGAGACACTGGCTTATGGGCAAGGGAAGTCAGGTGAGAGGCAGTGTCTGGGCTTAGCACAGAGTAGGAAGAGATGAACAGAAGAGAGCTGAAAAGGAAGTGGCATCCTTGTCTAGGCTGTGGAAAGAGAGATTCCTCCTAATTGGGGAGAGGAAAGGAATGAAGTGCAGACATTGACTTGAAACCAAGTAGCATGAGGAGCCCTGTGCCAGACAGACTTACAACTCTTACAGCTTGGCTAGTTCTTGGAGACTGTGACGCTGTCTTCTCTTTAGTTGGTCAGGTAGATGCTACTGCTTACTCCTCCTCCACCGACCGCAGGAAGCAGAGCAAGAAACGAGACTCCAAGCACTTGGAAGTCCGGCAGAACCCTGAAGGTAGGACTTCGCCTGGGAGCACAGTGTTGAGAGTACCCTAGCCCCAGGCCAGCGCTCAGAAATGGACCTACTTTGTGTCGGGTGAAGGAGGGTCACACCTGTGTGTACAGCGCCACCAAATACAAGCTTGAGACTATTCTGGTACCTGTTGCTGTGAAACTCAGATATAACCCAGTTGAACATCAAGCCTAGAAGACCAGGGACTACCTCTACTACTCCTTCCACAACTTTGCAGGACACAGGCAAAAAACAGGACTTATCCATCCTTGTGGCAGGTATGACACAGAAGTGCGCATAGGACTTTCCCTTAGAACTTGTGGTGGTAACAATATTATGAACACTATCCCTTACATTCAAAGAGACTTACATGGGCCTACCCCAGCCTTGGAGTAAGATTTGTAATGACAAACTACACCATTTAGGTACTGCTCTAGTTCATTCTGAACTACATACCTACTGAAGATAGGCTTGGGAAATTTGGCTTGGGGAATAAGCTACAACAAGGAAAAACCCAATAGTGGAACTGTGATAAACCTAGACTCGGGGTGCCATCTAGTGCTAAGAACCAGAAAGGTCCACAGATTCAAGCAAATCATTTAGACTGTGAAAGAGCAGGCACTAACATAGCTAGGTTACAAAGACTGGGAGAAAACCCTCATGTTAATGCACAGACCATGTCATAAGTCAAGCATCAGAATTGTGATCACGACTAACAGACAAAATAAGACAAGAAACTGACTGTAAAACAAGCAGCCCTTGACAAATGGGAAGAGCTAAAAGTGGCACTTTTAGGGAAACTTGGTAAGCTTCAGAAAACCCAGAGAAGCAACTTAATACCTAAGCAGAGAAATGACAGACTAAAGTGACTCTCGAAAACACTAAATATTTAAATGCAATATAAGGCAGCAACAGCAGAACAGAGCAAACAACAACAAAATGCCAGTTGCCTTGAAATCAGATTATCTGGAAACATACTGTTGGAGAAAAAAGAAGTAAATGCAAGGGGAGAGATCTGAGAACTGGGGGGGGGGGGGGGTGTCACTGTCGGCAGAACAGATATAGGAGTTGCAGGAGTTCAAGATGGAAGTGAGAATGCCAATGGGTAGAACAGACTTCATGAGAAACCTCCCCAAATCTAGACATGGATCCAGGGATCCAGCTGCAGGGATGCCAATGGTCACATCAGATCCAATGCAACCAAGCTGAGTCTTCAAAGGATGAATAAAGACAGTACTAAAAATAACAGAAATGAGGGAGTAGCTAACGGCTACCAAAGGCTAACCGGATGTCTAAACTGTACTGCGGACAGCCAGGATGTCTCTCTAGAACAGCTTGGCCATGCCATTTAATGAGCTGCATCATCCCTGGCTAACAGTTCATGTTTTACTATTATAATCGTAACTATTCGATCTTTTTCAGTAAAAACCGCACATCGCAAAACCTGTGTCAATGATAGTATTAAACATTTTAAAAAGTCAGTCCATTGCTGTGGTACAGTTGAAAGCAATACCACACCTGTCTGGATCAGGAGACAGACAAGCATATGAATTCTTTAATCACATTAAACCCATTTGCCTTCCAAAGCCATGAGCCATGTTGCCTAGAATAATGTCTGATGTGGACATAAACAAATTCAGTGTATAAATTGCACATTTAGTGTGGCCTTCATTTTAAGTTTTGCTTATAGAAGCACTGACTAGCATTCCTTCTGCATTCCACATGTGATAGTGCGGCTAACTTAATTTGGGCTTTAAATACCACCATGAAGACATCAGTGCCTTAGAGGGAACCATTATCATTAGTCTACTTGGATGAAAAGCTATTTCATTTGGAACACTACTGGTAGTTCACTGACCTTGATGAAGACTTTTCCTATCTTCAAAGTCCTAGAATGTTATCAATTTATAACCTTTGGGTTCCCTAGCCAATTACTGTCCTCACTACAAATGTGTAAAATAACTATAATCTATGATGAGGTGGCTTAGGATTAAACTCAACTTGTTACAATGGAATTACATTAAGATGTTTCTCTCCCATCTTTTACAATATTAAACATTCTATGCTTAAAATTAATAAGCCTGTATGACTCAATTTAAGAACACCATCAAGAAATACAGAAACAGTGAGTGTAAAACAAATACTCCTTAAAATAATGATTTTACAAAAGCACAAACTATAAAGCTAATAATGTAGCCTTACTAAAATACAACCTTAGTATTTATTTTTATTTCTTGAACCAAAATACAGAAAGCCTCAGCCACAGAGTTTTGTCAGAAATCTAAAACATATGATTTTTTTATTTTTATTTTTTATTTTTTCCTCTGAAATAACAATATATCTGTCCCATAGCCAAATACAACTGGCTTCACGTTTTGAATATGTTTCCAAAAATTTTTATTCCAACAGCAAATGTTCTCAAAGGAAGAAATAAATTAGCAGTCTACAAGCTAGGAGATGCATGTCCTGGGGGAAAATAATACCTTTCTGAAAGACAGGAAAGGTTGGAGGATTTAAACAAATTGCTTTTTAGATCATCCACTTCCTAAAGGCATCTCCTTCCACATGGCAGTTCACCAACTTTACAATTAAAAGCAAGCTTCTCACTCATACGTAATCTTAAGGAAATGTGCTGGGTTCAGAAACCTCCAGTGCATCAACAAAGTACAGTTTAAAAGACAAAGAGGCTGGAGACAAGGCTCAGCTGGTAAGAGCTCTTGCTCTTTTAAAGGTCCAGAGTTCGAGTGTGCACATCTGGTAGCCCACAGCTGCCTCCATTGTAGTTGGTTATTTTTACTCTTTGGCTTTTTTGAGGAGCCCTTCACCCAGCTCCAAATAAATCACACAGGCTGCCCTTAGCTTGACTTATTTCTAGCCAGCTTTTCTTAACGTACATTAGCCTATCTACCTTTTCCTCTGGGCTTTTATCTTTCTCTCACTTTTGAATGTCTTACTTTCACTCTTACTCCATGGCTGGCCGTGTAGCTGGGTGGCTGGTCCCTGGAGCCCTCCTGTCTTCCTCCTTTTCTCGTTCCTCAATTCTCTCCTCCCAGATTTTTTTCTCCCTGCCTGCCAGCCTCACCTATTCTTTCTTCTGCCTTGCTATTGTCTATTCAACTCTTTATTAGACCAATCAGGTATTTTAGACAAAGACTTACAGGTTAACAGAGTTAAACAAATGCAACATAAAAGAATGCAAAACATCTTTGCATCATTAAAACAAATGTTCCACAGCATAAGCAAATGCAACACATCTTAAAATAACATTCCACAACACTCCATCTCCAGTTCCCTGCTCTCCAAGGCTCCCTTCTGACCTCTTTGGGGTACCTGTGTGTGTTTGCATATAGACAGACAGACAGATGCACACGCGCGAGCACACGTGCACACACACACACACACACACACACACACACACACACAAATTCTTTTTTTAAAAAAAAAAGAAAATAAAAAAAGCCAGTGACTTCTTGGTTGAAAGACTGATCCGTTAACAACTAAGCAAGTAAATGTGTGGGCTTCAAATTTATTTTTGAAAAGCTGAACACATTTTACAGAGTGCTCACCCAAAAGATCACAGTATAATGCCTGCTGCACCTGGGAGTTTGCAACCATAATTCAGAAGAAATTTAAACAACCAATGTAACCAGTAAAGCACAGCTCTCAGTATTTCTGGGTTTTTTAATCTGTGTGAACAATAAATAAAAGATCATAAAACATAACCAAGCTGAACAGGAACTAAACTCTGCTTCGTCTAGCAATAACTAACATTCAGAGAAACATGAATTAGGGTTTTCAAAGTTTTTGCAAAATTATCACCTATTGAAATAGCTTTTGAACACTGAGTCGAACTAGAACCCAGATGCAGATGGAGAGGACAAGACCATGCTGCAGAAACACATAGAGACAGCTTACCTGAACAAGGAGGAGCTAACAGCCACTACACTGATAGCTGGGAAGCCAGCATGGGACTGACTCGGGCCCCCCTGATTATGGTTCTCAGCCAGAAGGACTGAGCAGTCTAAGAGACCTCAGACAGTGGAGCCAGGATGTATCCCTATGCACAAAAGGACTTTGCGAACACATCCCCCATGGAGGGATAACTGCCTTAATCTAGAGACAGGAGAGAAGCCCTAGTCCCTACTTCACAGGACCTGTCAGATCTACATGACCCCAACTGGATGGCATTCCCCTACATATGGAATTGGGGTGGGGGGATGGGAGGGGAGGGTGGTTAGAGTGCATGTGAGAGGGCAGAGAGGGTAAAAAGGGAAGGAAAGAGGGAGGGAGGGCTGGGGGGAGGGAGGGAGGGAGGGAGAGGGAACTGGGATCGACATGTAAAATAATATATTAAACAAAAAAAAAAAAAAAAAATGCTTTGACTCCAAAATTTAAGTTGAAGGACAAGTTACTGGGGAAATGGATTTCTATTTTTGTTTCCACAGAAAATGAAAAGATGTGGATTCCTTCCAGACTAATGTAGCTTGATCACGCCAGACCGCCTGAAACAGAGTACAAGCTGATCCTACATTCAAAACAGCTGGACAAAACAGCCCCACAGACTACAGCCAGGATATCTGAATCTTCTTCGAATCCCCCAAGACAGCGCCCCTTACCAGCAGGAAGTAGTTTGGAAAGAACGACGCCCAAATTCCCAAATATTGTGTATAAATGTTTGTTTTCATTTAATTGGACTGTTATATAAAATTAAATAAAATTTAAAAAAAGAAATAGCTTTTGTGTGTATACAATTGTGTATACATGTTCATGTATGTGTACACATGTGTGGCTGAGCAAATGTGTACGGGGGCAGAGGTTGACTTTGGGTATCTGTCTTTGTCCATAGACCCAAGGACCTTCCTGGACCTCCTCAGTGCTGAGATTACAGGCACAAATCAACATGCATAGCATTTTCTTCTAGATGTTAGAGCTGTGAATCCAAGCTTATTATATCCTCATGTTTCCAGAGCAAATACTATACTGACTGTGACAGATCCCCAGCCTGGACTTACACCAATATTAGCAACAATAATAAAGTCACTCTTACTTCACTGTTTAATACTATCTTCTCTTGTCACATGTGGTTATGAGAACCTGACCTGTGCTCGAAGATTAAAACAGCTAATTTCAAAGACCTCTAAGAAAATTGAGAGCGTAAAATACATCCTCAAACACCTTTATTGTGAATATTTACTAAAGGGTCACTCACTACCTTAGTCCTCTGAAAAAATGTCAAATTAATTTCACTTCTTACTACTTTTTCAAATGAGAATATTCAAAAATTTTAAATTTTGCATGTTTCCTAGGACACATCTACTGAGCCAAGTGTGTTAGAACCACATGGTCTAAGGAATCACAAAACAAAATGGTTTTAAGTGGATTCTCTGTATCTGAACAATAGCTCTGACAATGGCATCCAGACAAGCCTCGGACTGACTTAGTCTGAGAGAAGTCCTGAGTGCCATCCCCAGTGAAACCAAGCCCAAAAAGCAAATGAAAATCCCAAACCCTAGACTATGAGCTTATGAACTTACTCTCACATTCTCTGGAAGACCCGTGTTCCCAAACACCCGGGGAACAGTGCTCCTTACACTTGCTTCCTCAACCACACTTTTCATTCTTACTCACGGCATCCTAACTCGTACTCAGGCTTCCGAACTCTTCATACTCATGCTCCCATTTCTCCTCATATACTTCCAAAGTTTGTGAAATGCTCACATGTGAAACAAATGTGCGGTGTGGAGAGAATGAACAGACAGTACCTGGATAAGCACATTGCAGCAGAGCCACTGATTTGCCTCCAGGAGCAGCACACAAGTCCAGAATGGTCTCCCCATCACTTGGTTCCAGAGCCAGGACTGGGAGAAGAGAGGCAGCGTTGAGGAGGTAGTACTTTTTCAAGTTTCCAGTCTGATGTCGTTCCGAAGGCATTCTGTCTGGAGTTCGGCTGAGGTAACACTTCATTGATTTAGGGTAATACGGTAAGGACCCTTGAAGGACTGGATAATAGCCCCTCAGATATAAGTCCTTTTCCAGCTCAAGGGGATAATTGAATCGGTTGAAGAGGATGGCATATTGCCACAGCGATGGAGATATTAGAACATCCCTAGGCAGGAAAGGGGCAATGAATGAGTATCAGTATCATGACCTAGTGCAATCTTATACGATTAGTAGGGTGAATGTGGCCCTACATTACATTCCATTTCACGGTGACTTACTTTTCAGACAGGATCTGTAATGGTTAATCTGGACTGCCACTGTTACAGGGTTGAGAAAACTCTAGATTTAGTAATGCACACTTCTGGATGTGGCAATGAGATGATTAGTTCATGATTAATAGATTAATCCCTGGTGGGTCCATGGATTGTGCCATAATTGTGGATGATGAACAGCTGGATGTGGGGCTTGGTTGGGAGGTAGCAACCACTGGGGCTGTGTCCCGGGGAGGTAAACTTTGCCTCAGTCCCTCCTACTCCCTTATCTGTATCCAGGCCCTGACAACGTGGGTGGCTTTTTCCACTTGGCTCTCCCCACCCATCATGAACTGACACTTCTCAATCTATGAGCAAGTAAATCTATCACTTTAATCATTTCTGTAACTTACTGTGTCACAGAGACACACTTCTGACCAATACAGGATTGGTCTTCCCAGCTTTTCCTTTTGCCTTATATGGCTGTGATGTGGCCCACCCTGACTTTACTTACAAATATAGTTTTATTTATTTTAGCTTATTTTAAGATTAATTCTGATTAATGGATTAGGATTGGAAAGAGGCTGGAAAGAAAGCAGCAGATAAGAGAACACCTTTTATAAACATGAAGATACCCAGCATCCAGGTACAAAGTCAGGCATGGCTGTAACCTGTATTATAACTTGGAGTTATGTGCCTGCAACCCCAACATTGAGAGTGCAGACAGTAGCGCTCTCTGCCAGTCAATGGCAAGCTTCTAGTTCAGTGACAGACTCTATTGAAGGCTGTAGGGCAGAAAGTGACAGAGGAAGACACTTGACATTTTGCTCTGACTTCTGAATGGGTGTGCTCAGATACACATATCCAGACATGTGCAACCACATAAAGATGCATGCACCACACAAAGATCTCTCTCTCTCTCTCTCTCTCTCTCTCTCTCTCTCTCTCACACACACACACACACACACACACACACACATAAACACACACATTCATAGAGGAATACATCCTTACCTTTGCTTGTCCCCCAAAAGCAGCCTGCCGAGAATTTACATAACTTTGTACCTGCCAAAAAGTATTTTTGTTGGGGATGGAAAGATGGCTCAGGAACCGTTACAAGTGCCTACTGGAGAGGACCAGTGGTTGTCAGAACACCTAATTGCTGGATGGAATACAGATGTTGGAAGGTAAAGCTGCTGGGGAAGCCTGCATATCAGTCCATGAGTGGTTTCTAAATCATTCCTGGCTCCATATCATCTTAGCTTTATGTCACCTCCTAATTCCATCACTGAAGAGGACCCATATTCAGTTCTCAGCACCTACACAATAGCTCACAACTGTCTACAGCTCCATCCCTGGGATCCAGAGCCTCTTTCTTGCCCCTGCAGCCTCCTGAACACACTTGGTGCACATAAATGTACAGGCTCACACTCATACACATAAATTAAAATAATAATAATGTTTTTAATAAAATAAAACCCAAGAAAATGGCTTCCATCTGTCAGTATTTGCACAAAAGATTTTCCTTAGCTACTAAATTTAAGGCCATGGACTCTATATTATAGGGAACAGTAATATCACAAAAATAATGTGTTTGAAGCAATGAGTATTAAGCTCTTCTCCAACAAGAACAAGGGATTTGCAAAGCTAACTTTGGGTAACTCTCCAGTAATGGAATTAATGAGATGACACAAGGCTCAGATGATACGGAGCCAAGGATGATGTGAAAACCACACATGGACTGATAGGCAGGCTTCCCCCAGCAGCTTTACCTTCCAGAACTGTATTCCGTCCAGCAGTTAGGTCTCCTGACAAACACAAGCTCACATCAAGCGACATGACGCAGCAGGAAACATTTAATTTATTTACTAGCTGACCTTTCTGGCTGAGTTATTTGGGAGGCTCATTAACCATGGTCAATTAAATAAATTCCAGCTACTACTTACCCTGAAGTTGCTTATGAGAGAAACGGCTGGATTGAAATGTAACACCTGTGACTCACGCATGCCACGTGAATTTCAATGACACCTGAAACGTGGCCTGCTTTTGCCTTTCATTGCCTCTTGCTTACTGTGGACAGCACATCTATTGGATTTACCTTGCCGCTGGATCCTGCTTGGAGTTACTGATTCAGCAGCATAGTGTCCTTTTAGGCAAACTGGTGACGTATTTACTTATTTGTGTGTGCAGAGTGTATGGTGCATATACACTTCAGTGCCCTCGTGGAGGTCACAGGACAACTTCTGGGACTCAGTACTCACTCACCTCCCACCTTACCTGAGGCAGGGTCTCCCGCATATCTGCCACTGCACTAAGTAGCCCAGGTTAGCCAGCCCTCCCAGTTTCCAAGCCATCCTCCTTTGTCCACTTCCTATCTTGCTCTAGCACTACTGAGACTACAGAAGTGTGCAGTAGCACTCAATGGACTGACGCTAAGGCCAGGCTTGCTTAGCAAGCACTTTTACCCTGAGCTATCTCCCCACCAAGAGCCAAACAGTCTCATTTCCAAGTCATTTCCACGTAGTTTCTGGGTCTACACTTTGGGAACTACAGCTTTAACTCAGACTCTGAAGCAAAACCAAGGAAGCCACTACAGATTTTCTGAATGTGTGTCTCCCTCATATCCCTCAAACTAGATGGGCGTTTGCTCAGTGGTGAGTCCTGCAGGAGTCTGGAGTGGCTCAGCGTACATCACCTCACTTCTCTTAAGAAACAACGTGTGCTCTCTACTGTTTGGCTAGGACACGGTGTCACTTTTCTTCAGAACTCCCAAAGCTATTCTTGGATTTTTATTCTTTCACAGCAATGAATTGCTCAGTGCTCAGGCTAAAATAAATAAACAAACAAACAAACTATTGGGGCTGGAGAGATGGCTCAGTGGTTAAGAGCACTAGCTGGTCCTGCAGAGGTCTGGAGTTCAGTTCCCAGCAAGCACATGGTGGCTCACAACCATCTGTAATGAGCTCTGGTGCCCTCTTCTGGTAAGTATGGAAACATGCAGACAGAAAACTATATACAGAATAAAAAAATAATCTTTAAAAAATTGTTGACTGGAATGTGTGATGGGTTCCAGAGTAGACTGTACTAGAGAACCTTCTCAAAATTAAAAAAAAAAAAAAGTAAAAGAATTGTGTATACAGAAAGCTTAACAAAGATTATATTGAAAGCATTAAACTTGGAGACAACACCCTCATAGCATTGTCTTTCCAAACCAAGCCCGGTGTTTCCTTTTATTAAGATTTTCTGTGAGTTCTCTTAGTAAATGTTATTAATCCCATCTCCTTTGAAGCATGTTGTCTAAGAAGACTGTTAGTCTAGGAATACCCCTGCTACTTGTCTATTATCAAACATGCTAATTAAAACAAACGAAAAACAAAAAACCTGGAAGTTCCAGGAGGCAAGCGGCTCAGGTGTGAGGAAGACCTGGCATTAGGAGAGCCCAGTGGTGTTGGCTCGTGGTGGAGACAGGGACACAGGGGACACTTAAAACACTGGGTTAGTGAAATGGAGCTCTTCACAGACTTAGGGATGAGGGAGCCTGATCAGATCTGAAAATAGGCACCGTGGTAGCTAAACAGCAATCTTCAGAAATTACTCTCCTTCTTTTATGAACTAGACAAAATAATACCTAATTAAAACAAGTAAAATCATGGAGGCACTGGTAAGTGCCCAAGCTTTCTAAGTAACCCATGCCCCAACTGATAACTTTAATGATACTCCTTAGGACACACACACACACACACACACACACACACACACACACCATGAAAGTAGAAGTAAGGTTAGCTGGGAAGAAAAATAATGGTATTAGCAGAGGAAGGGGAACAGGAGATGGTAACAATGGGTATGAATATGATCAAAATACATTATGCATATGTATAGAAATGACACAATGAAACCTATTATGTATAATTAATATATGTAAGACCCTGTCTCAAAAACCAAACCATAAATATAAATGCACCCAGTGAAACACGGTTACTGGAGTGAGGTGACACCAGTCACCGTTCACTTCAAGCTCAAATGCTGAGTCTTCAATAAGTAGAAAAGCATTCTTCCTTTCTTCAACTTATTCCATTATATATTTATGTCTGGAGTTTTTTGTGAGTTTTATTAGAAAAGGGAGGGAAGGAAGAAGGAAAGAGAAAAGAGGTAAAGAGACACAGACAGAGAGAGGACAGAAGAGAAGAAGACAGGAAAAGTCCTGTCTGCTCCAGAGGAACAGTAGAAAAGACGGTCCCTGGAATTTTTTTAAGTTTTTTTTTTTTTTTTTTTTGAGACAGAGTTTCTGGCCTGGCTGTCTGAAACTCACTATGTAGTCCAGGCTGGACTCAAACTCACAGAGATCCACCTGCTGGGATTAAAGGTGTGTGCCACCTTGCCCAGCTTGTAATTGATTTTTATTCACTATTTTATTCACAATTCTGTGGTATGTCCACTCACACACTTCACATGTACTATAATGTTTGCTCTTAAATCTAAAAGTATAAAAAAGTATAATAAAAAGATTTTATTATCAATAATCTTAGTGCAAATATGCTTAAAATTTGATATTTATTAAAGATAAGTAAAATTTGATAGGAAACTGGTATATTTTAAATTTTGCTAGAATGATCCAGGGTTCAAGACTTTTTATGCTTGTTTTGGACTTTTATAAAGCAAATTCCCCCTTAAGTCAGTTAAAATTACATGTTTTGTAAAATTAAATGCACTGGCCAAGTTTCTCACCTTCTTCTGAGTTATGTCTCCAAAACTGTTACTGATCCATCACCAAAAATATTTTAATACACTGTCAATTGCAGCTTAAGTTTTGTTAACACCAAGCCCTGGAAAACATCTCAGCTGTCAAACAATTTTCCGTTTACTTTCTAAGCTCTGATGTTGACATCCCACATCTTGAGCATATGTGGATTCT